AGGCCACAAAGTAAAGAAGCCTCAGGATATGGTAGAAAGTGTACCCGATTTGAAGTTTTATTAGAACAGGTTCAAATTCCCGCCCTGCTAGTTTCTAGCTGTGGGACTTTGGGCATATTTATTTAACCACCAACCACCAATTTGTTTCTTCTCTAGAATGGAAATAATGAAACATACCTCATGTTATTTATATTATAATTAAATTAAACAGTGCTTGTAAAGCTCCTAGTGTAGTGCTTGCTGTATTGTAGGCCCTCAATATATGGTAATTAGTGTCATTATTATTCATTCTGCCAGGTGAAAGAGCTTAGGCTGTATGTAGGCAATGGGAGCCTCAAGAGTTTTGAGGCATGCCGGGCGTGGTGGCTCACGCCTGTAATCCCAGCACTTTGGGAGGCTGAGGCGGGTGGATCACGAGGTCAAGAGATCGAGACCATCCTGGTCAACATGGTGAAACCCCGTCTCTACTAAAAATACAAAAAATTAGCTGGGCATGGTGGCGCGTGCCTGTAATCTCAGCGACTCAGGAGGCTGAGGCAGGAGAATTGCCTGAACCCAGGAGGCGGAGGTTGCGGTGAGCCGAGATCGCGCCATTGCACTCCAGCCTGGGTAACAAGAGCGAAACTCCGTCTCAAAAAAAAAAAAAAAAAAGGAGTTTTGAGGCAGCCCAGAAGAGTTCCATAATTCAGTACAGTTCCTCTCCCTCGTCTCTGCCCCCTTCTCAACCACCCCCTTGCCTCTGACTCAGTGCTGTACACCTCCCTCTCCCTCTCCTCCCACCACAGGCCCAGAAGGATGTGGATGCTGTGGACAAGGTGATGAAGGAGCTAGACGAGAATGGAGACGGGGAGGTGGACTTCCAGGAGTACGTGGTGCTTGTGGCTGCTCTCACAGTGGCCTGTAACAACTTCTTCTGGGAGAACAGTTGAGCAGCCACGCTCGGCAGCGCCCTTCCTCTCCACCCTGCCAGACCTGCCTCTTCCCCGTTTCCACCTCACCCCTCTATCCCTCTCCATAATCCCACCCCTGCCCCCCCACCCCACACACACACCAAGGGCGCAAGAGTAGCGGTCCAAACCTGCAACTCATCTTTCATTAAAGGCTCTTCTCTGCCAGCCATCCGATGTCTGTCTCCTCTGGGACCTGGAAGTGGGTGGAGAAGTGAATACTGTTCACTCCCAACTCCCCTTATGTGGGGAAGTGTCTTATTTAGAAAGAGGTCGAGGTGCATTCTATCTTCCTATTTGAGGAATGCTCACGGTCCAGGAAAGTGGGGCTTCAAGGTTCCAGTTGGAAGTCGAGGAGACATCAGCTTCTCAGCTATAAAACCAGAGGAAGGGTGCGGTGGCTCACCCCTGTAATCCCAGCACATTGGGAAGCCGAGGCGGGCAGATCATGAGGTCAGGAGTTCGAGACTAGCCCAGCCAACATGGCAAAACCCTATCTCTACTAAAAATACAAAAACATTAGCCGGGTGTGATGGCATGAGCCTGTAATCCCAGCTACCTGGGAGACTGAGGCAGGAGAATTTCTGGAAACCAGGAGGCAGAGGCTGCAGTGAGCCGAGATGCACCACTGCACTCCAGCCTGGGCAACAGACCCAGACGCCCTCTCAAAAAAAAAAAAACAGAAAGAGGCCGGGGGCAGTGGCTCACGTCTGTAATCCCAGCACTTCGGGAGGCAGAGGTGAGGTCAGCAGATCAAAACCATCCTGGCTAACACGGTGAAACCCCATCTTCACTAAAAATACAAAAATTAGCTGGGCATGGTGGCACGTGCCTGTAGTCCCAGCTACTCAGGAGGCTGAGGCAAGAAAATTGCTTGAACCCAGGAGGCAGAGGTTGCAGTGAGCCGAAATCTCACCATTACACTCCAGCCTGGGCGACAGAGTGAGACTCTGTCAAAAAAAAGAAAGACCAAAGAAAGAAATCCAGGAAAAAAAGAGGGAAGGAAGGAGGGAGGGAGGGAGGGAGAAAAGGAAGGAAGGAAGGAAGAAGGAAGGAAGGAAGGAAGGAAGGAAGGAAGGAAGGAAGGAAGGAAGGAAGGAGAGAGAAAGAAAGGAGACTCTATATGGGGTGTACCTCTGTTGCCCAGGCGGCTGGGGTGCAGTGGCGCAATCTTCCTTCACTGCAGCCTCCACCTTCCGGGTTCAAGCGATTCTCCTGCCTCAGCCTGCCAGGTAGTTGAGATTGCAGGAGCACACCACCACGCCCGGCTAATGTTTTTATATTTTTAGTAGAGATGGGGGTCTCGCCATACTGGTCAGTCTGGTCTCGATTTCCTGACCTCGTGATCCACCTGCCTCGGCCTCCCAAAGTGCTGGGATTACAGGCGTGAGCCACCGCGCGCAGCCGAAAGAATCTTTCAACCAACGAACATTTACTTAAGTGGTACTATGTGTAAACATTGTGTAGGAACGCAGGATCCAGGACTAAGCAAAATAACCACTTTTCTTATCTTCACGTGGGTAAGGATGCTGAGCCATTACTTACACACTCACACACACACACACACACGGGTGAGCGCACAAGTGCCAGGAAGGAAAAATGAAAGGGTCTTAACGTGCCTATGGGGCGGAGGAAGGGTTGCATTCTCTCATTAATCAAACGTTTGCACACTGTATTGTGTACGAAGCCATTAAAAAATCGTTTATTGAGGCTGGGCGCGTTGGCTCATGACTGTAATCCCAGCACTTTCGGAGACAGAGGAGGGCAGATAATTTGAGGTCAGGAGTTTGAGACCAGCCTGGCCAACATGGCGAAAACCCATCTCTACGATACAAAAATTAGCAGGGCGTATTGGCACGTGCCTGTAATTCCAGCTACTCAGGAGGCTGAGGCAGGAGAACTACTTGAACTCGGGAGGCAGAGTTTGCAGTAAGCAGAGATCGCGCCATTGCACTCCAGCCTGGGTGACGGAGACTCCATCTGCAAAAAGAAAAAAGAAGAAGAAAGAAAGAAAAATCCCTTATTGAGCAGGGCACATAGCTCACGCCTGCAATCCCAGGACTCGGGAGGCTGAAGTGGGAGGATCATCTGGGCCCAGGAGATCAAGGCTGCAGTGATCCGTAATTGTGCCACTGACTGCAGCCTGAACAGAGCCAGAGCCGGTCGCAAAACAACAACAGAAAAAAAAAATCAGAGAGAAAAGATAAATCCCGTGTTGGATGGCAGGTGTGGAGGGAGGATACGGAAGAGAAATCGGGGATGCAAAGGTGCCCTCACAAGACGGATTAAACAGTATTTAGGCCTAGGTGGGGAGAGGAGGAAGTGAGGAGGAAAACATGGACCGGCGGTGGTGGAGCCGGCGAAGGATCGGCGAGGAGTGTGCTCCCAATACTGACCTCCTGGGCCTTGGTCGGAGCATTTACGGCACTTCACAACTCTCAGACTGGGTGAGTGGACATGAGGGGAAAACCAGTGCAAATTTCCCAGGCCCAGTGGTCCGGTAGAAGACGAGGTAAGTCTTCTTTACCATGTAAAGATTTTTTTCTTTTTTTTTAATAGAGACGGGGTTTCGCCATGGCCAGGATGGTCTCGATCTCTTGACCTCGTGATCCGCCCGCCTCAGCCTCCCAAAGTGCTGGGATTACAGGCGTGAGCCACCGCGCCCGGCCCGTGTAAATTTTTTTAGACTGTGTACCTTGGCTGGGGAACGGAGGGGCGAGGGAACTCGGGACTGAAATCCCCTCTAAGAACTACCCCAGGAAGTTGCCGTGCAACCACTAGGGTAACGTGAAGACCCTGCACGGCCCCACTACGGGACCCCCGGCCACGCCCCTACGGGGGACGCAGCCGCGCTTGCAACGCTGAAGTAACATTTGCTGAAGCCCCGCCTTTGCCCTAAGGCTCCGCCTCTGATTTCTGCGCAGGCGTAGCTCAAATCTTTCCCGCCCTCTAGTCGTGCGCAGATCTGACGCCTGACGTAATTGCGTAGACGCCATTTTAGCCGGTCCTACACGCACGGGACGTGGCGGCCATTTTGTTTTGGACACTGAGACGGAGCTGGCGGCCGCTGCAGACGAAAGTCAGGAAAGGGCAGGCCGGGTGAGCAGACGGATTTGCCGACTAGACAGCCAACCAGCAACAACAAACTAAGTTCGCATACTACCGCTTACGCATCTAATCAACCGCCCATCTAGCTAACCCGAGCCCCTCCACCGTCAATTCAGGTTCGGCCGGTCCCCGGCCCGCCTGCCGGAGCCGTGGTGGCAGCCCCGGGAGGAACCCTGGCGTCTGTTTCCTTCGGTGAGTTTCTGTAGTGAGAAGGAGCAGGGAGTCTTGGGGAGTGGAAGGGGCCGGCAGATGCGGAAAGCGGGTGGTGGCTTGTGGAAACAGCTCAGGTCGTGGAGCGTGGAGGCCCCGGGGAGGAGGCGGAGCCCCTGCGAGGGGTCGGGGGAGGGGCTGAACTAGAACCTGGTGGCGGGATTGATGGAGGTTGGGGTTTGATAGGGATAAAGGGAGCTTATTTGGCGGGTTGAGCAAAAGTGGAAGTCTTGACAGGGCTTTGAGGATGGTAAGAAGATTAAATGAGAACTGTAAGACTGAGAAATGTTGGAAATTAATGGCATCATTAGGGTTAAATTTTGTGGAGGGCTCTCTGCCAGCTAATTACCAGGTGAATTTAGAAAACCTTTCCTACTCACTCCCCCAGATCCTCAGTTCCTTCCATACTTGATTCTGGAGTTGAAAGCCAATTTTGAAACTAGGCATGCCTGTATTTTCACTCTAGATCTGTGTTTCTCTACTTGAGCTGCACATTGGAAGCACCTAGGTAGCTTTCCCCCACCCCAACAATTGTTCATTTCCAAACCTCACTACCAGAGATTGTGGTTTAATCTAGGCCCAGATATTCGTATTTTTTCAATTTATGTTTTAATAGAAACGAGGTCTCATCATGTTGCCCAGGCTGGTCTCGAGCTCCTGGGCTGAAGCAGTCCTCTCTCCTTGGCCTCCCAAAGTGCTGAGATTACAGGCGTGAGCCACCTCGCCCAGCCCTGTTTTTGTTTGTTTTTGATACGGATTTTCACTCTTGTCGCCCAGGCTGGAATGCAATGGCGTGCTGTCAGCTCACTGCAACCTCTGCCTCTCGGCTTCAAGCGATTCTCCTGCCCCAGCCTCCCAAATAGCTGGGATTACACAGGCAGTGCCGCTAGCCCGGCTAATTTTTTTGTTTTTTGTTTTGTTTTGTTTAAGAAGGGGTTTCGGCCGGGCGCAGTGGCTCACGCCTATAATCCTAGCACTTTGGGAGGCCGAGGCGGGTGGATCACGAGGTCAAGAGATCGAGACCATCCTGGTCAACAAGGTGAAACCTCGTCTCTACTAAA